GTCCCTTGTCCCCTCCCCAGGGCAGCTCTACGGGGACATTCTGTACTTCGCCACTGAGGCCAAGGCGGGCTGGACCCACAGCGACCCCCGACCCTTCTATTTTTGGGGTTATTTCGTGGGKCTCAACGGGGTCTGGGTGCTGGTGCCCGGCCTCCTGCTGTTGGACGCCTGTCAACAATTGGCCACTGCCCAGCGMGCCCAGGACCGGCACCGCCCCAAGGCCCACTGAGCCCGGGACCCCCCCACAGCCGGGGGAGCAGCGGGGAGACCCCCCCGAGGGAGCATTCGGCACTGGGAGGGTCCTGGAGGTGAATTCAGAACCGCCCAGGGCACCTGGGACCCCCCAAAAGCTCAGAGAGAGCGGCCTGGAGGGCTGGACCTCCCCCCCGTGTTCCCCGGGAATGTGGGATGGGGACCCTGCGGGGGTCCCACCCTGGTTCTCTGGGTTCCACCCTCATTTTTGGGGGTCTGTAATGGGACCAGCCCTCGTTCTCGGGGGTCTGCGATGGGTTTAATAAAGGAGCTGGAAATGGAAATGAGGGTTTGTTTTTTGGGGGGTCCTGGAGAGGGTTTGGGGTTCTTGGAACACGCGGGAGGGAGGGGAAAAGGGTGGGGTCTGCGAGAGATTGACAGGTGGTGGGTGGGGTTTTACGGAGGGGCGTGGCTTGTCAGTTCGGCTCCGCCCTGGCCGCGCCTGAGCCAATGAGAAATTGGGTCGCTTGCTGCGGCCAATAAGATGCTGTGAGCGGGGTTACGGTTCGCACCAATCAGCGCTGGGCATCGCCTCACTGCTCCCGCCCACCGATGATGGACAGGCCTTCAGCCAATCAGCGCTCACGATCTCTGTAAGCTCCACCTTCTCCCGCTGCTCAACAGGCATCCGCAATACCCAATCAACGCTCTCTCTTCCCAACTCCCGCCTCCCCAACCAGCCAATAAACGCCCTCCCATTCCTCCCCTCGGCGCGCCTCGCCCAATCAGCGCGCGGCCCCGCCATCACCATGACGACGCCGGTCCCGCCTCCCCCCTCAGAGCCGGGGGGGGAACCAAGGCGGGATTTCCGGGTGTGCTCTYCACCAATGAGAACGCGTCACGGCCGGAGCCGACCAATGGCGCGGCGCGGCGCGGGCGAGGCGGAAGCGCGCGCGGGGTCAGAGGTCGCGGCTGTTGATGTTGACACGGCCCCGGCGGCCGCAGCGCCCGCGGCCCCTCAGAGCCGGGGGGGCCCCTCCGAGCCCCCGCCCGCGGCCCCCCCGCCCGACAGCGCCCCGCGGGTAACCCCCGACACCC